CGAAGTTATACGAGAAAAGCAAAATAGGGGAACGCAAGCTGTACAACATGTACGTGAATCACGCTGTGATAGAGCAACGGCAGCAACGGGGGCATCGGACCCGTCCTAGATAGCGTCGTGGTCTGTGCATCTAGCCATGTAGCTTTCAGCCATTGCACCTCTCTATAGTTCCAGGAGGTTCTGTTCACGATGCTTTGCAGATTTTGGCTCACATGCCTGCCGACCACCCCAGGCTTTGAGAAGTTTCCAGAGGTTCTTCAAATAGCACTGAGTGATGGCCGTCGGACATGATGTGCTGTGCTTAAGGCTCAGCTCGCGCCTGCGTGCTCTACAACTCATTTTGAGAAAGCGTGTCAGCAAAACATTACACATTTCCATATGGAGCATAATTAATGACGAGCCCCACAATCGCGCACTGTGGGCAGTGGCGTTCAAATGACACCTACGGATTGCTCGAGCGCGAGGACTGTCTCTATTACGGAGACAGGAACAGGAACTGAATATAAATGAATAACTCTCAAACAGAACCTGTATGAAATGAGCCAGTTGATGGAAGGGAAGTGTTTTCGCTGCGCAAGCTTCTTATCCAATCCCCAGAATACCTGCACGATACCAAGAGTAGCGGATGTGACAGGATCAGCGAAATCTCCACCAGGAGGCGAGACACTGAAACGTAAACATCTATCTATCTGTACATTCAGCAGTTGACCATAACATCGAAAATTAAAAAAAACACATCAACTGATTCAAAATCCACATCCACACGTAGCTGGGCTATCGGGACTACCTTCGGAAGCAACACATGTCTCTCACCCAGATTCCTGCATGAAACTTGCAGTTTTTTTGGCGAACCTTCTCATTTACCGAAAACAGGAAGTTCGAATGTCGATCGGTGTTCCATCGGGTGAGGATGACGAAATCGTCTGTTTGCTACGGTTTGTTTCCACTGCAGAATTTCTCTATTCTCATCCTCCCCGTATGAGTTATCTCGACATAACTATTCCCCATCAGTACTACTTGCGTGGACGCCCTCGAGAACCCCTAATCAAAAAAATCCAATTCATTTTTTTCGATGAAATTTCCAGGCAAGCTGTTTCAAGCAACTAAATTCGTATATCAAACTCATGACTCACGCGCCGACAATTGTGACGGATCCTTCGCGTTGTGGATTTCCAAGACATTTCACTTTACCAGCACGTTCGTAGAACGAAGCAAGACGAGCGGCAAGATATGCAGGATAACCAGAATCAGCAGGCATTTCTCCCAATCGTCCTAAAAGATAACATCAACGATTCTTTAAACAGTTTCGAGAAACCATTTTCAAATAGGTATACATGTTAGAGCGGGGTCAAAACTGGACAAACGCCGGTTTGAAAGGGACTCCCCAGCAGTTTGTTAAGACGCAAAACCTGCCGAAATTCGACCAAAGCGCACAGCGAGCAACTTGCGCGATCTATGATTACCGTCATGGTTTAACATGAAGTAGTATTCCAAATTACATATCCCAACGTTTTGTAGTGTCTCAAGCGATGCATATGAATACAAAATGCTCAGTCAGTACTCAGTACTCATACAATACACCAGCCCCAGTGTCGCAAGCGAATTTACACTTCGTGTTCAGTACTACCTCTGGAAACAAATTTTCAGCCAAATCTGCCTCCTTAAAAAAATCGGTAAAAAAGTT